CATATTAAATATTTTAAACAACCCACGAAAAAGTATTTTGTTTACCCCCCCCCCCCCCCAAAAAAAAAACTCTAGAAAGTCTGACACCTGTTATTCTCGATTGCTAAAATCTTTAATGGAGAGTGGGCAGAGGAGGAGCCGCAAAACTTCGATTTAAAATTTACACATTCTATTTTCTTCAAAAATATATGTGAATTTCACAAAACAGTGTTGGGTGACTTAGTATCTGAAGTGCTGTTTGGGGCTAAATTGGATGGATTGCAGTTAGGATATGTGTGTGTGAGTGTGGAGAAAGACAAAATCTTCATCTACACTCAAAAACAAACTGACGAAAATTTTAATAATAAGGCTCTGTTTTATAGATTTAGACGGTGTGAAACAGTATGTACAGTTTGTCGATGTGCAAATTTTTTATTTAGCACTGCGATGAAGCTTCATTACTGCAGCTTCTATTTATTTATTGTCCATCTCGCTCTTCAGTTCGTCAAGCGTCATTTGTAGCATTTCTTTAATTTGTTTGTCGTTCAGAGATATTCGATCTTTCAGAAGTTCATCTTTTGTCAAAATATTATCAATGTCACCGTTGATAGATCGATGCAATTCAATGAGCAATTGACAACAGTCATCGATTAATCGTTCGAGTAGCAGTGGGTCAGGCAGAAAGATGGATAGAGCTTGTTTAGCATACTTTACAGCTTGTTCATATCGTTTGGATCGCGTAAGACTTCGCGATAAGTACACGTAACACTTTCCAATCGTATCTCTAGTATATGGTTTTCCGTAGCCAGGTAACAGATGCTGAAAAGCGCGATAAAAACTTTCTGGTTCATGAATTGAACTGTAGAGTCCAATCTTGCACATGCATCTTGCTGTTGTCATTACATTGTTAACAAATGTTTCTTCCATGGACAAATTAAGAGCTTCTTTGTAAAGACTTAAAGTCTTTTCTAAATCATTCTTTAATGCATAAACGTCACCCATTCTCTCTGAACACGATCCAATCAAAGGATTGAAATAAGAAGATCTTGATTGAGAAGAAACTACTGATAGTTCTTTTTCACGTGTATAGCAGATTAAGGCTTGTTCAGCATTTTGATTCAGATAGAAGTATTTGTAGCCAAGTTCACCCCATGCATCAATGATATATGAAATTTTCTCATCAATGAACAGCTCATTTTCTTCATCATCGTATGTAGAACAGTACTCGAGAAATGCATATGAATTTTGAAGAAACGCTTGATCTGACATATGATTGAATCGTGCAAATGCTATGTCCTCATAGAGAAAGCTATCCATATCACTAGTCTGGTTCATAAGTGCATCGAAAACATTCCAAGCAAGTTCATGATCGCCGTTGATTTTATGAATTTGAGCTAGATGAGCCTAGAATTTGATTTATGTAAAACCGTATGAGAAGAGAAATATTTACGAATAAGTGACACATACTTCTATGAACGACAGCTCAGACTCCCGAGTTACGTATGTTTATATGGAAAAAGTTTTTCAACTAAGTAAGAGAAAGACTTCCAAGACATCTATCTTACTGCACTCTTAAATGACCCCTTGCGTATGAGTCGTCCCTCTGTGAAACATTCGTTGCACTCCTAAATCCGAATAAACTATCTATTCAAGTGAAGCTGCAGTACACCTGGTCGAAAGCTGACGATTTCTTTTTGTACATCACTTTTTAGTAACTTTGCGTATTTTCAAGGTTTTCGGCCCATTAACAGCAGAACAAATTTTAAATTGTATTTTGTACAGATTACATTGAAAGCAATAATCAAAGTAGTTCTCACAATGATTTCAAAAAATAACTCACTTGTCTTGTATAAGAAGTCTGTGATTGAGGTTCGTCATATAGTGATGCTTTTTGATAATAATAGTAAGCTTCCATTAGCTTTCCCTTTGTCTTGAATACGCTACCCAAAGAATCGTACAAAGTAACAACCATTTTATCATGAATTTCGGGTCCATGATCGAATGAATCAGTAGTGAACGATCGGAGTGTTTTCAATTCAAAACGACCTAAATTGTCGCTATTCAACGTGACACTGCAGAGTTCTGGTAATTCGAGTTCACGTAGAAGGATCGGCACGTCTTCAATGAATGTTGCACAGAATTTTCTTGTAAATTCAAACTTGTACTCGTCTGAATTAGAAGATGTATCTAGTTCGTCTTCGATGTCATTGCTCGACGAGTTGTCTTCTTCCATGAGATGACGTAGTGTCAGTTCAAGCCTCATAAGACGTTCATCGTCATTGATTCGTATCAACGGATCGTCTGTTTGGCATATACGGGTAAATATTGCATTCCATACACGTTCTTTCTCATCGTAAACACAATCAATGAGGTTGACAGTATGAGTTGGAGAAAGAAGAATTTCACCTTCATCACCATTAAAACTTAAACGACGGATATCAGCAACACCTTGCTTAGGACTGAAGTCTGCCCATTCGATATGAAAAATGACTGCCTGTATGGGATCATCGAGACTAAAGACACCTGCCCCTGAGAACATGTTCGCAACAGCGAAATCGACTGTTGTTGAAAGAAAACTATTGATGAATAATACTTCTCCCTTATTTTTCTTAAGTTGTTCCAGTTCCGTGAGTGACATCAATTGTCCACGATAAAGATGCACAGTATCGGCTTTCATCCAATCTTGTTTTGTTGTTTTCAGTTCGCTTTTCAATTGTCGATCGAGATCATAGATAAAGAAATGCAATAGCTGAATACCATGTTGATTTTGTTCACGAAGAACTCTATTTAGCACTTTGTAGAGAAAGCCGTCACGTGTATACCAACGAATGGCGTCTTCCGGAACATATGTATCATTGAACTCTTTTATTGCTTGTAGAACAGAAGGATTGTGTTCGTAAAGAATATTGCATTCTTCAACAAATTTTTCTTTACAACTTCGTGTTGATGGAACTTCTTGAAGAGCACGAATCAAGTAAATATACCAGTCAGTTACATAAGAATAACTGGCTGAAGTTGATCGTTCGACTGTTTTCGAAGCACTTGTCAAGGGAGGCAACTCATTTGCCATAGTCGGTTGATAAACCATGCCACGAATATTTTTGGAAAGTATATTGAAAAGTTCGTTTAAATCTCTGAATGGACCACGAATCTGAAAGAATAATAAAGTCTCAGAAAGTCTACTTAATTAGATGATTTTTTCAGTGAAAACATGTCATGACACATCGAGCAACGCTTACATGAAAATAAGGTCATTGTAAAAAAAATCAGCTTCGTCCATATATAAAGCCGTGGAAAAAAACAAAGAACGAATTGATATAACAAAGTAAAGTGTATTTAAGAGACTATACAAAATATCTGGGACATTTATTCATATGAATGTAACAATGCATAACGTTGAAAAACACTGTTAATTTATGAGCGACCTATGGATAAAAAGCGTAGAGCAAGACTCATAGACAAAAACTTGTAAGTTTTAAAATTTTATACTTGTAAAATAGAAACTAGACAAATAAGGTAAATCGTAAGAGAATGATCAAATCCTATGTTAACTCAAATAATTAGATTATTTCGTCACTCACTTTGGGACATTCGACAGACAAATCATTTCTGCTTTTTTTTTCGTTTTTGCCATCACGTTTCTCATAGACGTAAATTAAACGAACTTCATTAGAAGTGGCCAATTGAGCGAGATGCTTTTCAAGAGAAGCGCAATTCATGATAAGAAAAATATTCTGGTCCTCTGTTTGTCGTATAACATTAATATCTGATATTTGTTGAAAATAATCGACGACACCTCTCAGTTGAACTTTGGATATTTCATAATGATCAAGAGGAGAAGTGACATTGTCGCAGAGCCAGTAAATAGCATATTCTTTCGTTTTGTCGATTTCACCAAAAATGGATCTTCGTACATAATGTCTTTTGGAACCGACATTTTCGTATTCTCTATGTTTCTGCTTCTCATTGCAAGCACATGCTGTGGCCATAAAGCCTTTACAACTCTTCTGACGCCAAAGCAAGAATGGAATGAAATCGTGTAGAATAGAAACAGAAACGTTAAAATTCACTCAAGAAAAGTACATTCATATTTGTTTTTCTTTTCTTTCATTGAAAAGCGAATGCAAATATATCACAAGGTACAACATGTTTTTTTGTCTTTCTTGCGAAAGCAAAACAACTCTTCGATAAGAGCTGCGAAGAATATGCATAAAACTTTTGATACATTCATTTTCGTTCCCCTATATTGGTGTGTTATTCCGTGTCGACTAATCATCTCTAGTTGATGGTTTGTTTTTTAAAAACTAGCATTGCATCAATAAATAACATGAATACACATATTCATGTATGATGACAAGTAGACAGCTATCGAAAAGAGAAAAAAATGTAATGGGTTAAGGGTAGCACCAATATCAAACAGCACGATATTGCATATCAAGAAGGCTGCACAGCATATATGAAATTGGTTAGAAGTTTGTGTCAACGATGTACAACATTTAGTGAAGTTCTTGACGATGAGCAGTATCTTGACACATTGGATACACGTACTCTTTGCTCGATTGAATGTTTCAATGCAAACTGTATTCAATTACATTTACCTTTCAAAAATCATGGAAAAATTCTACTTCTGTTATGAACCAGTCATGCAGCAAAGATGGTCTGCATACAATTTGCTTCGGTAAAATAGTACTCTCTAGAACAAATCGTTTTAATACCGAAACTTTGTAAAGTTTAATACTTTTTTTGTTTAATTATATATATATATATTATATTTTTTAATGAAAATTGAGATCGAGTTTTAAATTTTTACAAAAGGATTTTGTCTTGTCTGTTTTTCGCAAACTAATTTTTACTGGAATGAGTGATTATTAGATTTCTCACTAACACATAGAAAAATCACTTTGAACAAAAATTAAATGATAATTGTATGAAAAATACCGATCAAACATGCTATTATAACCAAACAATGTAAACAACTTTGATTGCAGAATAATAAAATCACATAAATTTGTGAATCAATTTTAGTGACTGTCATTGCCCAGCAACACTATATTTAAAGTTTTATGCCTATCGGTAAATCTCTCTTCGAACAAAGAAGTAATAGATTCATATATCTCGTTAACATCATGAAACACAATTCGTCGTAACACACAAAGAAAGGTCAACGATAAAGTTCAATATTCATGTTTAATATTTTTTTCAATTGAGAGATCTTTATTTTTTTTTTATAGATGCAATGTTTGAGTCTTAAAAAATAAAATTTTCTATTTGGAAAATGCTCTATCATTTTTTCACACCTGATCAAAATTAGACGGTTCTGTCCGTTCGCATGAAAGAGAATGGAAAGAAAAAAATTATTGTTGATTCATAAGCAAACGGACGGTTATTGTTTATCATTTATATACATGACCGATTGGCAGTAAGGAAAATAAAACGAAACATTCATCTCATTCTTTATACAATCGTCGCTATGAAGGGTACAATTGCTTCTCTTGTTTTGCTCGCTCTAGAGCTGACAATTTGTCTTATTTCATCACGTTGGCATTCAGTTAATGTCGATGATTCTGAAATATGCTTTAAAAATCTTTTTCTTCGCTTTAATACGTCTTCATCAAAACATCAATATTTACATGTTGGTCCATTGTTTTCATCTCATGTTTCGAAAATGGATAATACTCCTGAATATTTTTCATCTGATCATGCTAAAACTGAAACAACTTTATTGATGACTGGTATTGTTCTTATACTTATTTCGGCAATTAGTTTATCATTTATCGAATTTTGTTCAAGTAAATCTGTTTTCAATCAATATCGTATTTGGTTTTATTTAGTCAATGTTCTTCTATTAACAATAAGTTTAATTATATTAATCGTTGGTTTTTATTCATTGCAACATGCTTTGAAACAATCATTAAATGGTGCAGCAGCTCTGGGATTTTTCATCGGAATTTTATTCATAGTTATGTTAGCTACACATTCAGCTATAACATTTTGGACGTATACTTCGAATATGCGTACAAAAAAAGTAGAAACAATTGTTACCTAGTTTATATATATATTTCTTTTTGTGTGTTTAAAATGTAATTTTTTTTGTAAATAAAAGTTATTTTATATGCAATCTATAATTTTTTTTTCTTCAAAAGATAAATATCAGCTTAGGAGAAATATACGATATAATGTTTGAGATACTATTTGTAGAAAAAGTCTGAGAATATTCATGCTAATTTCAAGCATATGTTGATTCGTTGGAAAGATTTTTTCGTTATAACAAACAATTGATTTAATGCAAGTATGCAATGTGTGTCATCAGAATATACCTATATTGAATTACGTTTTACCACTATGGTTTACCAATTATTTTATTACTAAAAAATTATTTAGTTTTTCTTTTATTTAAGAGTAATCATACGACTACTGAATTGGAAGTTTTAATGGACCGGATTTTGTCCAACCGATTGAAGTCTGTGTTCTGATTGAAAAGTCATTGTTGTTCTTTTTTTACTGCATTCTCATTCATGATAACTGGACACAAAATTGAAAACCGTGTTTGAAAAATTTATCTTTTCAGTTTGTTGTTAATAATGAATTTTCATTCTGAATGTTTTACTTTATTTGTGTTTGTATGATCAACTAAACTAAATTTCTAGAAAAGCTTCGAGTTGATGATGAAGAGAGTTTAATGATCTAAATCAGTAAAACAGTTAGCAGATACAAAACAAAGAATTATTGAAGTAAGTCATAATCAATCATACACTACATTAAAATACAGTTGTTTAAGTTATTCTTGTGGTCAACATTAATTTGAGTTCAAAGAGATTCGATATGAGAAGAATGAGGGGAAGAAGACTTTGGTCTAGGACGTATGTTATTTTTCTTGATAGAAAAAAGAATTATTTCCAGAGGATTACAATAAGCATCTCTATAGAAAAAAAGATTATGAAGAGATTTGTTGAGAAAATTCAAATTTTAATGCTGAATTTGAATATCACATACGTTTTGTTCATGAATAAAATTTTGATAATCAAAATCGTTAAATACGAGCATGTTTTTGGTACGATTTTTCTACTGAAATAAGAAATTTTCATTTTTTCAACAATGAAGTGGTATTTTCAAAAATCTCTTCATAATCTTTCCCACATAGTGATGCTTACGATAATCCTCCGCAAATAAAACTTTTTTTTTCTCTCAAGCAAAAAAAAAAAGAGAGACTAGACATGATTGCAAAATGGCATAGTAGCCTTTTTGTGAAGATTTCATTCTGGATCGAGTGTTTTTGTTTCTATCATATTTTATTTCAACAATGGCAAGTATAGTTTTACGCGATCAATAAGAAAAAAGATCAGTTAGAAGAACTAAAAATAATAACGAATAAAAAATTTTGCTTTTAGAATATTTGACATACTCTCTTTTCAATCATGTACAAAAAAAAGTCTTAATATGATTTTGAGTTTTCAGCATTTTAAGTAATAAATAATTTTTTATTTAAATAACATTCATGATATACTGTTCAAATATTCTAAACATCTTCGTATTTATTTTAACATTGTCACGTGTTCATATATAGTGTGAAATCAATCATTTTGTATTTTATCATATAGGTAGTTGCTTGCGTTGAAGAACAGGTAAAAAATGTTAATGTATGAGTGGGTTCTTCGTCCGTATTTACTCTTGCGTATACTCAAAAAATAGAGAGCGTCTTATTTTATCTTCTACGCATGATATGTGACTGATAGATTGAATCAAAAAATCTCGTACAGTTCAGTTATAATACAAATCTTTATCAAATGAAAAATGCGATGATACGGTATGTATTATTATTACACGGTAATTAAAATAAGTTTGATACAACATAAAATAATTTCAGTCTGTACAAGCACTTGTAAAGACAGGTAGTCAAGGTCGTACAATAAATAAAAAATTCATAGCATTTAGAAGATTATGAAAGAATTCTTCTTGAAAGGAGATGTGTCAAATTATGGACAAAGTATTTCCAAAGCATTTAAGCCTAATTTTATTTTTCTGAGAATCAACATGGAGTCCTGATTATTTTTCATGAGTTTATTTTGTATTTTATCACAACTTAATTTTCCACATCTGGGGTTCTCTTCAGCTATCGAAAAAAAAATTTTATCGCCGTTCTATTAGACGTATTTATAGTTCTATAGCGCCAATTATGCTGATTACAAATATCACATTTTTATTCAAAATTACTCAGATAATAAGAAAGATCTGAAGTACTCTCTGACAGTCGTATAAACTATTAAAATCTGATTTAGACTCGCTAAAAGTAGGAAATGTCGAACACCGCCCCGATTGAATCACATTGTCACAAGTAATGATTTTTGCATTCTTATGAAGTTATAGTTTTTCCGGATGCACAAACTTGACTTTTTTATCCGACGTGTGATTCAATGTCTTAAGAAGTATTTTTGCTCTAACAACGATATTTAAGTGTCAAATTGTGTTTTTTTTTACTTGTACTCGATGATTTCCGAACAGAAGATACTTTATTTGATTTTAAAAAAATGTCATATTTAAAATCAGCACGAAAAACTGAGTTTGCTAAAATGTTTTTCAAATTGTTTCTGTGACTGTTTTTTCGATCAAATTTTTGCTCCTGGTCCCCTCAAGAAGACATGAAAAAATGAATTTCCTCAAAACATCTAATGAAATATCTTTTTTTTGTCCTCAAATGACATTTTACAACCGTAGAACTGTGTTTCTGTTGCCAAAATGGTTTTCTAGTGAAATTCATTTTTTCATGCCTCCCTAAGAGGAACCAGGAGCAAAAATGTGACTGAAAAAAAATAGTTGCAGAAACAGTTTGAAAAACACTTTAGCCAACTCAGTTTTTTGTGCTGATTTTAAATATGATATTGTTTTTCGAAGTTAAACGAAGCATCTTCTACTCGAAAACCATCGGGTATAAGTCAAAAAACACAATTTGACACTCAAGTATTGTTGTTAGAGAAAAAGTGCTTCTTAAGACATTTCATTCCAAGCTGATGCATCCAGAAAAAGTATAACTGCATAAGAATGTAAAAATCATTCCTTGTGACAATATGACACGATCGGAGCGGTATTTGACTCTTATCGATCAAAAAGCATTTGAATATGTAGAACGCTCTTATAGATTCTACTACAGAAAGAAATTCTGCATCAAATGAGTATGTTTTTAACGAGTGTAAATCAGATATTTCTTATTATCCGAGTCCTTTTGAATAAAAATGTGATATTTGTAATCAGCACAATTAGCGCTCACGAACTATAAATTCTTCTAGTAGAATGACGATAAAAACTTTTTTCGATAGCTGAGGAAATTCCAGATGTAAAAAATTGAGTTGCGATAAAATACAAAATAAACTCGTGAAAAACAATCAGGACTCACAATGCTGATTCTCAGGATAATAAAATTAGGCTCAAGTACCTTGGGGATGCCTTTGTTCATAATTTGGCACATCTTCTCTTTCCTGTATTTAGTTAACCTCATAACTCCCTTTAACAATTACAATAATTGATAATGAAATTATTTAGTTCTAAGTTTTCAATCTGTCATGACCATTGGTCATGATACATCTCCAATAATGTTTCGTCCTGTTCTGTCTCTTCTTATGGTATTTGAAAACATTTTCTTTCTTTTCTTTCTCTTCGACTCATCCTTCTGGAAAAGAAAACATCATCGGCATGTCATTGCATGGCAGAAGGACAGTATGTTTCGTAGAGATAAATACAATGTGCCTTTCTTCGTATGGGTGTTGTTTTTTTGTTCTAGTTGTTCGGATTAGCATGATATTGAAGAATAAGACGAGTACCGAAAAAGAATAAGTACAATACATTTCGAGTTTTTTTGATAAGATTCGATTCCTATCCATGATTTGTTATCAAGATGATAAAATGTAGGAATTACGTAAATGAAAGATTTTCAGGTCATGTTCTATAGTGAAATTCATAAAGCAAAGAAAAACATGTTAGATTTACTTCTTATACTTTCATTATTTCTAAACTGTTACGTCATATTTAATAGAGATGAACTTTGTTAAGATAATTATATTTTTAAGACAACAAATCATAAACTATTATTGATAAAATTAGTGTATATTTTAGACAATATGAGTTGAATTGATCTCGAAAGAAATAGAATTTCCTTTTATTTGATAGAAGAAATAAAAACGAATTTTTATTTTCATAGCTATTGTCAATTTTTTTTGCATATTTCAAATTGACAAAAGTGAAGAAAAAAAAATTAATAATTATGCAAAAATATAAACAATGTACAAAACAAAATTATAATGACGAAATTCAATTATTGGCATATCGCAGATATAACAACGTTCAACGCATTACATTTATAGTATGTTTAATTATCGTACTGTTTACTTTGATTCACATTCTTCAAACTGGATTATTTTTAATAAAACATTTTACAGAAGATGAAAATAGAAGTAATATGATAAAACTTGATATGCAAATTTGGCAAGGTCTTGTTAATGGTCAATCTCAAAGAAAAATTCCTAGACATATACATCAAATTTGGATTTCATCTAAAAATGATGAAGAAATGTATGAAAATTTTCGAATAGCTGCTAATGCTTGTATGGAATTACATTCAAATTATAATTATACATTATGGACTCATAGAAAAATTTTAGATTGGTTAAAAATTCATTATTCATGGTTTTTACCTACTTATGAAAATTATCGATATGATATGCAACGAATCGATGCTATGAAATATTTATTATTATTTCATTTTGGTGGCATCTATCTTGATCTTGATATAAAATGTAAAGTTCAAGATTTAATTACTTCTATGTTACCTTTAGATAAACGAGATAATGAACCAGATATTATATTTCATATGGGTACAGAAGGCATTTCAGCAAATACAGATATAATGACAGCAAAAAGATTTCATCCATTTTTTAAATTAGCTGTTAGTCAACTTAAAACAGCAAATCGTTGGTTTTATTTATATCATTTAACTATTATACTTAGTGCTGGTCCTACTTTTCTTTATGGTGTCTATAAACAATTTCCATTGAAAGATATTTTTTATTATGTACCAAATAATGTATTATATGGAAAGATGATTGAAGGTGTTGGTGGAGGAACATGGTATGGTAGAGATAGTTTAGTTTTAATTCGTTTTATGGAAAATAAAATTTGGTCAAGTTTTCTGATATTTTTTATAATTATCGTTTTCTTTGTTGTTTATAAAGTTTTAAAGAGGAAAACAATATTGATAAAATTTTGTTGTTAAATATCATTTTTAAGCTTCGTTAGCACTTGTTCTTATCATTGTTCTTTTCAATTTAAGTTTATTTTATTTGAATTTTCGAATAAAATTGAACAAGAAGATTGTTGAATACTTTTTGCATAGTTGGTATTTAGAAACAGAAAAATGATTACCAGGAGAACTACTTGGATTCTTGGCAGACCTCAACCAGCTGCATCATACTGTTATTACTACACAAAATCTAATTGTATTATTGTGAATAGATCATCTCGAAATACATGTGAACGCTTGTCAATTACGTGGAGTCTATCTGGATGTGGGTGGGATCCATTTGTAACATTTATTCGAGTAATATGTCTTTTACGGATGTATGTGAGAGCACAATGAAAACGCTACTCAATCATACGCAGTTGTTTTTTGCAAAGATAGAGCAACTTAATGTTAATGCGAATGCTACATAATCATAGAACGATCTCAAACATCTCGAAAGTAGACAATGATTAGGCAACGTAAAAAGATGAGGTCAATATACTTCAAACTTACTACTTTTCTTTTTGGGTCATCATTGGTCGATGATGAACTCGAAACAGCTTCCAGTATTATACTTATTTTATTCAATGGAGTCCACAAGAACTTCAGATGAACAACAAGTGGTAGTCATGATAGAGTTAAGCATATCGAAATGTCAAGAATTCAAGTAATGTTACATCGATCGTTTCAAATACATTTTATTATCGATCGTATATAGTCTTTGTAATGATCATTCATTAAGAAAGATAATAAAATACTTTTTACGATGTTACTAAGAATAATATACTTTTTTGTTTTGAAAGACTATTGTTTTGTTGATTATTCCTAGCTCTATTCGAAGAAAAAAACAATACAATCCCAGTACCAGTCATGCTCATTCAAACAAACAAATATAAGTATATTAAATGAAGGCCCATAAAGAATTTCGGGTTCCCAAATGAGTCATTTTTTACCCTTATTTGTTGCATACTTTCCGAAAATATTATTGTGTAGGTTTAAAAATTTTACCATAACTTCTTCACTACAACCCCAACATATCCTGAAAATTTCATGCGATTTGAATGCATCTGACATGGTTCAGATGTATTCACATTGATCGATCTCTTTGTATACACCAACCGTATACCAATTCTGGATAGAGTCTCTTGTATGTTGGCTTATTTCTATCGATGGGTGTGTAAAGAATTTTTTTTAGGAATGAAGATTTGCAGAAAATTCCTATACTTGAAAATTGCTCTTTTATACGGTGTGAGGATGAAAGACATTTTATTGTAAAATAATTGTGTAGCAGTTCGTAAAAATCAATGGTTGAATTTTTGGAACAAGACAAAAAGTAGCATGTTGAAATTGTATTATCAATATAATCTTTCGTAATCGAAGAATTTTGTTTGAATTTTTTTCCGTATCTACTAATTCGAACTCATCTGACTTTCGAAATACACAGAATGAAAAAATACCAATGATCTAGTGATTGGATAGTTTTAGTAGCTACTGTATATTCTTTCACATGTGGATATAGTCATGTGCTATTTACGCACATTTACCTTTACACTATATAAGGGTAGTTACCTATACAGGCTCACTCTTCATTCTTATGACTTGCAGTTATTTATCAACGTCAGTAAGTAATGTTTACTGTCAGTGTAAATGTAAACTGACAGATTTTGATAAACAAGAGGAAAACAAGTGCAAAATATTTATGAAATATTCTATACTACGTAGTTCTATTTGTCAAATATATGATTTTTTAAATTTATAATTGCTCACATTGATCGAAGTTATAAAATATTCTATTAGTTATAACATTGGAAAATATCGACTGCAATACATAAACACGCGTCGAAGGATACTGTACATTCATATGTACGGATATTCTGTTATTATTGTTGTTGTTTTTTTATTTGTATGCATAGAATAGTTCTGTTGTGTTGCTGTAAAAGATAACATGATTCATATTTTTAAAAACAAAAAAAGAAACTTTTCATTGAGAACGGTATCTTTCGAGACTTTTGAAATAGCCACGGAAGTTCAAGGAGTACAAACACAAAAGAACCATCAGTGAAAGAGAGAGGACAAATTCTTACTTATTGTGAAATTTATTAATCAAAGTTCAAAGATTTGCAATTAGTTTTTCGAAACATTGGAACTTTAATTGGTGTATTTACACAAAAATATGCTAAGTTTTACAGGATTTTGAACTGGCAATCTTAAAAATCTCTTCTTAAATACTCGAAATCGCTTTGGTTTTCTGAAAAAAAAACTTTAATTAAAAGTTACAAAAATAAATGGAACACAATAGAATATCCAGGATCTTCCATGGTGAAGAGGGTTTAGTTCGGACATTTAGTTCCTGATAACATCTATTTCAATATTAGAAAAATTTCTTCAAAAATGTAGCCTGCAACAGAAGGCAATGGATTTTATTCTAGAAATTTTTTTGTTTTTTTTGTTGTTTATAAGTTTCAATTGTTTCTTTTGTTTTTAATTTAGTGTCAACGATGACAGATAGAAAACAAGAAATAGTACCATTTAATAGTATTCAAGGAATAGCTTCGACAAATGTACAAGCTTATTCTAATGAATATGATGATTTCATTTCCTTTGAAGGATTTTATGTACATGGAATATATACTGGTTTCAAATGGCAATGTGTTGAATTTGCTCGTCGATGGTTATTATTACGTAAAAGTTGTATCTTTGAAAATGTCGGATCTGCTACTGATATCTGGCAAGAGTTGACCTATGTAGAACGTGTTACTGATGGTGAAGAATTTCCTTTGAAAACTTATTCAAATGGATCACCACATAAACCTAAATGCGATAGTTTCCTTATATATCCTCGTAATGAAGAAATGCCATACGGACATATTGCTGTTATATGTGAAGTTCAAGAAAGTTTTATTCGTGTTGCCGAAGAAAATTATCGATTTCATTATTGGTCAAGTAATTATGCTCGTCAGATTCCTATGGTATATCGAAATGGTCTTTATTACATTGAAGATTACTATAATATTTATGGATGGATGGAAATTGAAAATAATCATCAATTAAAACCATTGGATGAATCAAATATAAATTTAATTCTTAAAAAATATCAAAAACCGAAACCAATTGGTCAATTAAAACCTTGTTTTATTTTGAATAAGACTTTGGATTATCGAAAAGAAAAATTTCTTATGCAATCCAATAAGAAAGATATTTGTTATTATAAAGCAGATGAAGATTTTTTTGTAAATATTAGTAATACATCAAATGAATTATACCGATTATTTATACAAGCTGTAAATTATATTATTCATAATGATGAGATTTTAACACTTTTTGAAATACCAAACCAAATTTGGTTTCGAATTCGTAGATCTTGGATAGATGAACGTGATTTTGATATTATAGATCCTATGAATTTAAGATTTGATGGAAAAAATTTGAAGCTATGTCAATATAAAGCTAGCCGAGGGTTGAATATTCTTCAATCTACTGTTGTACAAGAAAAATGGGCTCAAACTATGAATCTCGATTATAGTTTTACGTCAAGTTTTCAATTACATTGTCTTTTAATAAGAAAATGGAAAAGATTAAATATAAAAACTACTATTCATATATTAATGGATAATGATGATCAAGAAGATCTAGAGACTATATTGTATATGAAAACGATAATGACAGAAGCAGGTATTGATTCAAAATTATGCTTATTGTCTAATGATCTCTATTGGAAAGACTCTATAATTGTTGACAAAGATGGCGAAATTGTTAAAATTGTTTGGAAATCATGGAATTGGGAAACAATCTTTCAAGATTTTAGAGATCGATATGTTGACAATAAAGAAGAAAAAGAAGAACGGAAATCAGTGAATAAGGAACATCCATCTTTAACTGATATTTTATTAAATGAAAAAATCAGAATTATCGAACCTTTATGGAAATCAATTATAAATCATAAAGCATTTTTCTCGATACTATGTACACTGTTTCCCAATCATTCTAATATTTCACAGAATGAATCGCTTTCATCAGAAGATTCGCAACATATTTCCTTTGTGAATCGGTCGATGGAAGAACAGAATAATGATAGTATAGAAGAATATTTTGATTCTCATCATATTTCTCAGGAAATATTGTCAGAAAAAAATTTTGAATATTCTGATGAAATTATTGTTAGTTGGATGATTCATGGTTTATGTTCTGGTTTTAGTATACGTGAAGATCAAAATCATATCACTAACGCAAATAACCTTAAAACATACTGTTGTATAATTTGAAAGATGTATTCTTGGTTCAATTGTGTATTTGTATAGATGGAAATAAACGTGAAATATCAAACCGGTCTATTTCTATGATGATGACCAATGCACGGAGTGGAACACTTTGAATCTAGACTAGACTCAAAGATTTTCAAAAGATTCCACTAAGTTAATGATGGTTGGAGGGGGCGTAAAATACATTTAGTACTTCTTATTTCTAACTCACATTTTGTATCATAGAAAGCAATTATGATTTAGAAAAAAAAATAGCAACTTGTGTCAAAAAATGTACATTTACAGACAGATGCCAACATCAATCTCTATTTAATTTCGACTCTCGAATGACGATTTTTCAATCCAGTTTACTGAAAAACAGAATAATGATGAAACAACAGTATTCACAAAAAAAGGGAAATTACATTGTAGATGGGCTCACTTTATTGTAAGCTTAACCACTGAAGACGAAGAAAATTCTCGACAACTTGTCGTTTATATAACTTGAGTTTTCTCTACAACATTTAGTCATACAAAATTCAATATTTCCTCAAACAATGAAAGATTTTGATATTTATACAAGAATATCGATGCAGTGAATGAGTCTACCAATCTGATGTAGTTTATCTAAGCCTCGTGTTTTCACCACATATGATAGGATTTGTGCAAAGTTTAACTCAACACATTCAATAACTGATAATTGCAACTATACTGAGCGTCAGTACCGTAATGATAACTTATTGTTGTTAATTATAGACGTCTCGATGAATCGGTTTATTTCTACGTACCCACATCTCTCGTAATGAACAATTCTATATTGTAACAAAACGACATTATATTAAAAATAAAAAAAAACGAAATTGTCATAAATGAAAAGAATAAGTAATATAGCAACTCTATGCTGGATCCTCTACAGTGATATGTAATATTAAAAAATAGAAGGAATGTCAAAATATTTACCTCAATCTTCCAATGGTTACCTGTATACAATTGAACTTAAAAACTTTGATTAATTTTTAGTGTTCACTCTTCAGATACTTGCAACTGACGAAATTGTAACACAATATTAGATTTTATTTTTATGGAGCTGAATCACACAGATATTTATGGCGGAAGTGCCCATAAAACAATTGCAAAAATCGGTGATTAAAAGCGTTTTTTTATCAATTCGCATGTTTTCCCTAGACTTTAAATGCATTTTTCTTCTACATGTTTTTTCCTATTCGTTTATTCACATAAATTATCTTATGATATTTATACTATTTTATTGTATATTTCTCATTAATTTCTTTGGCGAAAATTATAAAGGTTTCCAAAAAAATATGCATTGCTAAGTATAACAAAAGTCGAAGTAATAGAAAGCATAGAAACGTTCCTTCTATTGATTCATATTTAGCCTTTTGTTAAATCGTAAGGGAGCACTTGCATGTGTTCACTACGCTATATCTTTTCCGAAAAAGCAAAGATATCTGAAACGGCATTTATTAAATAAAAATGCTTGCTGTCTTTGTTTTTTTTTTCGACTCAATTTCTTTTTAATAGTATAAATTCGTCACTTCGAGATAGGAAGCATAGAAAGTAAAAAGAAGTAGATGAATGTTTTTTACAATGCATTGATTTGATTATTGTTGTAGCAGAACAAAGTAGGCAATATAAAGAAATAAAAAAAGTGGTAATAAAAATGACAAACACTTGTTATTGATATTGCTTGTAAATTCTGTCTAGAGATAACGAAGAATTATGTATGTTATAGTGCATTATTTGTCGTATAAATAGGTTTAATATATTCGAGCTTTTATTGAGAACAAAGAAATTAACAATCCTCGGCAATCTATACAAGAAGTAAGTAACAAAAAAAAAACAAAGCTGATCTAAAATTTGAGTGTAATATTGTGAAGGCGATAAATAAGCATGCACTTTTTTCTTTTAAAATTACATCACTTTGAATGAATTGAAAATCTCATCAAAATAATCCTCTAACTATAGACCACTAGAAATTTATTAAAAGTTTAACATAAGAAATTTATGACTCGTTGCACGAAAATAAATTGAAAGAGTTGTTATTTAAATATCATCTTACCTATAACTTTTCAATTTGTTTAAGAGATTTTTTGTTAAAGTAAACTTATTTTGTTTATCTGCGCTTGTCCTTTAAGTTACACAACTGTTTCTTTTTTTTTCTTGTAAAATTCAACTACATTCTTATTTGCTATACTCTTAAAACTTATCGCGATAACAGCCCTATTTAAGCAGTATATTTATATGTTAGCAGATTTTTATTTCATAGAAAAACGCTTTTATTCAAAATACGAATCCAAATATTCATTTTCAATTTTTTCAGTAGAAGAGTGCTAAAAAAACATGCGTTCTAACGTAAAAATGTGAACGCACTCGAAAGAGATTTTAGATAACGTTAATTGAGCAGAAAACAACACGTTCTCTCACAAAAATAGTCAAACGGTGTTGTTAGGCGGTATTTGAAGTTAAAAAGATTGCGTTGTAAGTAAATAAAGATAAGTTTAAATGCGTTGCAAATAAAAAATGATACATGGAAAATGAGAAACACAGTTTTTCTAAAAGTTGCCG